ATCTCTTCGGACTTGCCGAGATAGGCGGAGCCTTGGGTTGTAATGGGCGGGGCCTGAGGCTGGAGTGGGCGGGGCCTGAGGCTGGAGTGGGCGGGGCCCTGGTGGGCTCACAGCGGCCGCGCCCCTCGCCCAGGACGGCTACATTGATTTCATGGAGTACGTGGCGGCGCTCAGCCTGGTCCTCAAGGGGAAGGTAGAACAGAAGCTCCGCTGGTACTTCAAGCTCTACGACGTAGACGGCAACGGCTGCATTGACCGCGACGAGCTGCTCACCATCATCCAGGTGCAGAGGGGCCCGGCCAGGGCTGGGGGAAGCGGCCTGCGGTGGGAGCAGGAGCTGAGAGCCCAGGGTTGGAATTGCCATCTCAGGATTGAGGCAGGATGTGGCAGTGGGGATCCCAGTGGCAGCTGTGGCCCTCACCAGCTGCGTGACCCAGGCCACCTTCCTTCGCTTCCTGGGCTTCAGTTTCCTCAATACCCAAAGACAATAGAGGTTTGAGTCTTGAGTCCCAGCTCTGCCTAGGCCCCCGGGTACCCTACACTCTACTCCCCACTGCTGTTGGGAGCCAGACAAGCTCTGACCGTCCCCACTCCCACCCCGAGATAGGATTATGATGGCCCCTCTCACTTCTGCCCCTTCTTCCCAGGCCATTCGCGCCATTAACCCCTGCAGCGATACCACCATGACTGCAGAGGAGTTCACCGATACAGTGTTCTCCAAGATTGACGTCAACGGGGATGGTGAGGGGGCCGAGGAGGGGCTCCCCAGGGCAGGAGTCACCATGGATGTGGGGTCACCAGGGGTTGGAGGTCACTAGGGGAGAGGAGCAGGAGGGGAGGAGAAGGCCCAAAAGCCCCGTGCTGGTCACCTCGCATGCCTCTGCCCCAGCCACAGAGTTGGCTTTTAGGGGCCCCTGGACCAGAGTCTGGGCTTTGGGTGCCTCTGCCTGCTGCACCCGCAGGTCACTTCCCCCCGAGTGGGCTCTGTCCCTGCCCCTGGCAAGAACCCAGTTCTGTGCTCTGGATTGTAGACAGGAACACCTTCCTCCCCCTGATTCCCTTTCTCTCTACCCCAGGGGAGCTCTCCCTGGAGGAGTTCATAGAGGGCGTCCAGAAGGACCAGATGCTCCTGGACACACTGACTCGAAGCCTGGACCTCACCCGCATAGTGCGCAGGCTCCAGAATGGTGAACAAGATGAGGAAGAGGCTGACAACGAGGCTGCTAAGGCAGCCGGCTGAGCCCACTGCCCAACTGCTTCTGCACTAGCGGGTGGGGTGGTGTGGAGGTGCCTGGTGGTGGTGTTCTCGTCTTAACCCTAGATAAAATCTACTGAACTCAGAGGCTTAGCTCGCCTCTTTGGGGTCCATGGTGGCAGCAGAGGGGCAGGAATGGGGGTCCAGAGCCAGGAACAGTGAAGAATGGCTCCTGGCCCCTCTGAGTGACAGCTGGCTGTGGCACTCCCTGCTGGGAGGCAGTGTTCAGCATCCCTCTGATGTCAGGTGACCCCCTAGCCCTTCCGGCTCCTCTTCCAGCTTTTCCCAGATTTCCCCACTGAGCTTCTCCAGTCCATGCTCTTCCGGACGTGAACTCTGAACCACAGCTGAGCTTTCCCAGGCCTCTTATGGAATCCTGCAGATCCAGTGGCTGCAGCCTCAGTCCCAGTGCTGCAATCACACATCCATTCTGCCCCGGGGGACCCTGGAGCCTACTTGTGTGCTTTGCATTTTATTGATTCATGCCTCCTTTCAACAAGTATTTATTGAGCACCTGTTAAGTACTAATATTAGATATTAGACACACAAAGAAGACAGTTCTCATCCTCATGGAACTCAAAGGCTAATGGTGAGACACACAGATAAACATCATTATAATAAAATATGCTAAGAGACATTATGAACAGATTTCTGAAGGATACCCATAGGCATCCGACTCAGAGACAGCATCACAGAGGTGACCTTTGACTTTGAACATGAAAGCGTGCTCGTGAGCTGAATGTGAAGAAGAAGGTAATGTGTGTGGGGTGGCTGGAGATGCATTCTCTGTGATGTATGTGTCACATGTGGGGGGCTGTGTGATGTGGACAGGAGCATTCTTAGGTGCAAATTTGGGGTATCCTTTGGGATTTAAATTTTACCAAATTTAAAACAGTAAGAGTCACCATATCTGTTTTTAGGGAGTACCTCCTAGGGCCCCAGGAAGGGAGAACAAATATAGCTCCCTTAAGAGATTTATAATCCTATCAACAAGATAAGGATGGGATGTTTTGTCAGGTGTGGTGGTAAATGCCTATAATTCCGAATACTCCGGAGGCTGAGGTGGGAAGATTGCTTGAGCCCAGGAGTTCAAGACAAGCCGAGGTAATATATCAAGACCCCTCTTCAAAAAGAAAAAAGGAGGCTGAGCTCGGTGGCTCACACCTATAATCCCAGCACTTTGGGAGGCCAAGGTGGGCAGATCACCTGAGATCAGGAGTTCTAGACCAGCCTGGCCAACATGGTGAAACCTGGTCTCTACTAAAAAAACAAAAATTAGCTGGGCATGGTGGCTCACGCCTGTAATCCTAGCACTTTGGGAGGCCGAGGCAGGTGGATTGCCTGAGGTAAGGAGTTCCAGACCAACCTTGGCAATACGGTAAAACCCCATCTCTACTAAAATACAAAAATTAGTTGGGTATGGCCGTGTGGCCTGTAATACCAGCTACTTGGGAGGCTGAGAGAGGAGAATCACTTAAGCCTGGGAGGTGGAGGTTTCAGTTAGCCAGGATCGCGCCATTGTACTCCAGCCTGGGCAACAGAATGAGACTGTCTCAAAAACAACAACAAAAACAAACAAACAAAAAACCCAAAAATTAGCTGGGGGTGGTGGCATGCTCCTGTAATCCCAGCAACTTGGGAGGCTGAGGCAGGAGAATTGCTTGAACCCGGGAGGCAGAGGTTGCGGAGAGCTGAGATCACACCACTGCACTCCAGCCTGGGAAACAGAATGAGATTCTGTATCAAAAAAAAATAATAAATAAACAAACAAAAAGAAAAAAGGGTGGAATATTTAGATGACAGTGTAGGTCTGAATCCGAATGACTGTGTATGTGCATGCATTCACTCTGGCAAGGTTTGGTGTTGGCCAAAAAGTGAAAGAGGGTGGGTGGTCCTGCAGAAAATACTCATTTCTCCAGAAGAAATCCATTATGTTTTCAGAAGCGCCTGCTGCACAAGTCCCTCATACTTCCCCTCCTTGGTGACATGTGGCGTTACATGGTTCCCCACGGATGAGCGACTCATTGCTCATTGCACATAATCTATCCCTGGTCTAACCTAAACCCTTCTTGCTGCAGTGACACCTGATACCAGTTGGGAAGTGGGGCAGTCTGTTTCAGGCAGGCCCCATCGCATCTTTGCACAGCTCAACTTTAAGAATACCCAACTCAGAGTCTACCTGTCCATGGCAGGTTTTTTCGGCTCTGTCCCTGAATTACGGCTACCTGATTACTACAGGAACCTGGGGAGACACACAGGCTGGAGCAGTTGTGACCATTTTCTCAAAGATGCTCTTTCTTCTGGGTTTTGCGTCTTCACTTCAGCTGGGTGTTGGGGAGGTGTGGGGAGAAAATGAAAATTCAGGAATGGAAGCTGGCAGTGGAGGCTCATGCCTATAATCCCAGCACTTAGGGATGGATGCTGAGGCTGGCCGATCGCTTGAGCTCAGAAATTCGTGACCAGCCTGGCCAACATGGTGACACCCTGTTTCTACAAAAAATAGAAAAATTAGCCGGGCCTGGCAGTGTGCACCTGTGGTCCCAGCTACTCAGGAGGCTGAGGTGGGAGGATCGCTTGAGCCTGGGAGGCAGAAGTTGCAGTGAGCCGCGATTGCATCACTGCACTCCAGCCTGGGTGACAGAGCCAGATCTTGTCTCCAAAAAATAAATAAGTAAATACATTCAGGAGTGAAAGGGAGAAAATGAGGGGAAAAAGAAGTAAAACACCAAGTCGGAGAGTGCCCCACCGAGGGGATGAGAAAGTGCATTTTGCTCATGTCCTGTCCATCAATTGGACCTCCCCAGACAGGGGACTGAGCAACGGACATGGAAGGCAGGTAAAGGTTGGTGCCGTGCGCAGCCAGGAAGAAAAAGGGAATTGACATTTCTGCTCCTTTGGCTGGTCTGTTGGGAAATCCTGAAGGTCACAGTTGGGAAGGTGTGAACATGTAATTAGAACATCCCTCAATGTCATTCACATACCTTCTTCATGATTTGCAGCATATCTGTGTCCCACCTGGATCATATATGTATATATATATTTTTAAATAATTTATTTATTTATTTTTTATGAGACAGAGTTTCACTCTTGTTGCCCAGGCTGGAGTGCAATGGTGTAATCTCAGCCACTGCAACCTCCACCTCCCAGGTTCAAGCGATTCTCCTGCATCAGCATCCGGTGTAACTGGGATTATAGCATGTGCCACCATGCCCAGATAATTTTGTATTTGTAGTAGGGGTTTCTCCATGTTTGTCAGATTGGTCTTGAATCCTGACCTCAAGTGATCCATCCACCTTGGCCTCCCAAAGTTCTGGGATTACAGGCGTGAGCCACAGCCCCTGGCTTTATTAAATTTTTTTTTTTTTTGAGACAGAATTTCACTCTTGTTACCCAGACTGGAGTGCAATGGCGTGATCTCAGCTCACTGCAACCTCTGGCTCCCGGGTTCAAGCGATTCTCCTGCCTCAGCCTCCCGAATAGCTGGGATTACAGGCGCCCGTCACTACACCTGGCTAATTTTTTTTTTTTTTTAGTATATTTAGTAGAGATGGGGTTTCACCATGTTGGTCAGGCTAGTCTCGAACTCCTGACCTCAGATGATCCACCTGCCTCGGTCTCCCAAAGTGCTGGGATTACAGGCATGAGCCGCCACATCTGGACCATATTTTTCTAATCAATTATTTTTTACTTAACATTGATGTCTAAAGGAAGTTTTATATGAATATCATATGAAATAGCACACCTATAAAGTCGCAGGTTCAGTAGGTTAGTTTTATTTTTTATACATCAACATAGAAACCTATCTATTCAAGGTAAAGCAAATGTTTTTCCAGGTCCCATTTTAAACTGTCTTACAGGAGTAACAGTGACCCAGGGGACTGGTTTTCAGTTTGCTTTTTTCAGAGGTGCCTCCAGTTCCAGAGGCTACTCAGCCCCGCTTTCAGCCAGAGAGACTCCCTTTTAATCTAGTTTCTATACTGGGTTACACGTAAAAGTTTGTATAACAAAAAACAATTCCACATCTAAAAACATAATAATCCAAAAACTGCTCGCCTAGTCCGACCTGCTCACTGTGCAGCTGAGATATAACCAGGGTCAGGGAGGAGAAGTGGCTGTCTTGGATCACACAGCAGTTAGAAGCAAAGCCCAGCCTAGAACCCCAGTCGGCAGGCCCCCAGTTCTTGCCAGAGACAGAGAGACGTTTTCTCCATCTTTTAAAGAGAAACATTCAGCTTATGGCTGGGAATTGTGGAAGGTCCATCCTGGGGGATGTGGATGGAGAGGGAGGATTTTTGGGGGAACGGTGGGTTGGCAGCAGGGGGTCCCAGAGCAGCACCCAGACAGAGCTGAAACAGCCCCTTTAAGCACAGCCGACTCTTCCAAAGGCAGGAAGACCACGGCCTGCAGCATGTTTGCTACCATTTTTCCTGCTGACACCAATGGTGAGGCTGCCTTGGGGAGGAGCAGGCCAGGGTCCTCCCTGTGAACGCTCCTCAGCTTCCTGGGGGTTATAGAATTATTGCTGCCCCCGATCCCCAACTCTCCTGCCTTTTCTTCAGTCTCAACGCCTTCGTGGCCCTGCCTCCTACTGGTCTTTGTGTTCTCATTGCTGATTTGGTCTGTGGGACCCTCACCCCTCGGTTGGCTCCTGCTTCCAACTGAGAACACCTGGAGACTGCAGGAGCCCCACAACCACCCAGCCAAGGCATAGTCCTCCCGGGAGCAGCTAAAGGGGAAAAGTAACCGGCTTTCCTTCACCATCCCAAGAATCTGCTGGAATGGACTATGTCCTGTTGGTCACTTCAGACCCAGCAGCCCTTTCCCAACCCCACTCAGTCCTGAACAGGGGGTGCCAGGAAGTCTACACCAGGGGAAGAATGGATATAAGCAGGCTGAGCCAGGGACCTTCCCACAACCCGGGAAACCAGGGTGAGCCTGGAGTCATGGAGGGGCCCCAGACCCCTCAGAACATGGCACTTTTCCGTCTCTGCTGAGCGAGCCAGCTGCTGGGATTCATGTCCATCTGCAGCATCTTCATCACCCACTTGTCCCGACGGGCACCTTCAACAAACTCGTTCAGAGACAGCTGGCCTGAGCAAGGGGGAGGAGAGGCGGTCATGCGGAAGAAGGGGAGACCTGGGTCTGGGGGTAGGAGGAGAGAACGCGCTCCTGGGAGTGCCTACACCTCTTATGCCAACTATCCTGCAGTCTCAGGCCCCAAACTTTCGGCTTGTCAGGTGTCTGAATCTCCAGGAGTCTCCTGCCACCTTTAAGCGGCGTTCTTTGCAGATGAATTGAAGTTTTATTTTTGCCCACGGTACCTTGGAAATGCTGGGTGGAGCTGAGCCATGTGGAGGGCTCATGTATGTATTCCAAGCCAGCTCTCCCCCCACACAGCCTTGTGGCTCGACACTGGGTCACAGGGAGGAGAGCCCGAGCAACCTGAATGAAAGCCTACACACAGTGCCTGCTCTTAAACACATTATCCCATTCATTCCTCTCAACCGCTATTATTAGCCCCATTTTCCAGATAAGGAAATTGAGACCAGGGTGAGAAGCTCAATGTATTGCTCTCTGCCTGACTCCAAAGTTCCTCTTCTTTCTATTTTGCGTGCCTGGTCTGCACCAGCAACTCCTATAGAACTTTTAGTTTTTCCTACAAACACGTGTTCATGTCATCTTCTCCCCAGCCTTCTCACAGATGAGGACCCCAGGGTTGGGAGGTAGAGGGCCTTGTTCAAGGACATGCGGCCAGAAAGTGGCAGTGACGCAGTGGGCAGCCATCCCCCCACCATCTCTGCCCCTCTTACCGTCTCCATTCTCATCCACTAGGAGGAAGATCCTGTCCACGACCTCCTCAGGCGTGAGCAGCTGGCCTTGCTCAGTTTGTAGCTCTCGCCGGCAGGCTTTCTTCAGCTGGTAAATTCCCTGCCAAAGAAAACCCAGCTGTATTGATGGGAGACCCTGCAGCCTCCACCCTTACCCCAGTGACCCACATGCCTCAGCACCACCTCCCCAGTGCTGGCTTCCCAGGCTGTGTGTCTTAGGATCACATAATCCAGATCCGGATCAAAACTGACCTGTCCTAAGACTGTGTTTCTCAGAATCCCACTGGCCTAATTCCAGCTGAGTTCCTGGCCTCACACCCCACCTGACCCCAACAACATTTGCATTTCCACAGTGAGCCGCAAAGCCCAAATCCAAAACCTCTAATGAGGGAGGTTTAGGTCACCATGACAGTCTAAATCACGTTCTACACAGAAGAAATAGAGATGCAGAGAAGAAAATTCAGTTTATCTATATATGTGTGTGTCTGTATATGTGTAAAGCAGAATGATGGGGATACACATGTTCCCTCCCCATGGACCAGAGGGAAAAATCCAGGTCTCTCCTTTGCCTTGTTTCCTCTCCTGGTGACAATATGTTTGTGAAAGCACCATGTAGACTGTGGCTCATGCCTGTAATCCCAGCACTTTGGGAGCCCGAGGAGGGCGGATTATTTGAGATCAGGAGTTCAAGACCAGTCTGGCCAACATGGTGAAACCCTGTCTCTACTAAAAATACAAAAATTAGCCAGGAGTGGTGGTGGGCACCTGTCATCCCAGCTACTCAGGGGGCTGAGGCAGGATAATCGCTTGAACCCAGGAGGCAGAGGTTACAGTGAGCTGAGATAGAGCCACCCACTCCAGCCTGAGCAACAGAGGGAGGCTCTGTCTCAAAATAAATAAATAAATAATAAAAAAAGAAAGCACCATGTAAATGCAGAAGAGATGGACACATATGATGGTTCTCCTCAGCTCCCAGGCTGGCGCTCCCTGAGGACAGAGGCTGTGTCTTTTTTTTTTTTTTTTTAAAGAAGAAACGTGCCTGTAATCCCAGCACTTTGGGAGGCCGAGGCAGGCAGATCACAAGGTCAAAAGATCAAGACTATCCTGGCCCCCCAACATGGTGAAACCCCGTCTCTACTAAAAATACAAGAAAATTAGCTGGGCGCGGTGGCGTGCGCCTGTAGTCCCAGCTACCCAGGAGGCCGAGGCAGGAGAATTGCTTGAACCCGGGAGGTGGAAGTTGCAGTGAGCCGAGATCACCACTGCACTCCAGCCTGGTGCCTTGTGACAGAGCAACACTCTGTCTCAAAAAAAAAAAAAAAAAAAAAAAAAAATAAACTTTTACCAATCAAAAAAAAAAAAAAAAAAAAAAAGAACTAACGTGCTGACCATCAAGTAGGCTCCAGCCACCAGGTTTATTTTCATGCGGTAAATAAAGCTCCTTATTGTTCTCACTGTTATACATGAGATACAGAGAACCAGAAATCTGCTTGGTGAATTATCAACTGTTTTGCATACCTAAATATCAATGAGATAATAAGCGAGACTTGTAAAGCACTGAAACCAGGGCTAACAGCAACACAATCCACTATCAAAGGATTTCAATGCCAGAACTCTGAAACATTCTCTGTTGGTGCTGGGACAGTCTGGCTGACAATTGATGTCCACTTTAGCACCGAGGGCTGGACACTTGTGATTTCTGTTTGCCTTCCCTGGCATGGAGCCCAGATCTGTTTCATGAGCAGAGTAACTACCGAGGGGTCTTCTCTGATGGAAAGCTGGTTTTAAGTCAGAAATCTGGAGAGATGTCCTGACGGGCAGCAGCCCCCATGGGCCTAGGCTTTTGCAGGGCAAAGTGTCACTGTCTGGTGTGCCAGTGCCCATGCTGCATTGAGTGGGCTTGGCTGCTGTGGTCGCTTGTCCTTTAGTGGACAAGCAGACTGTGTGCAGGTATCTCGAGGAGTTTGTTGCTGGGAGTGTATGGGAAAGGGGAGGAAAAAAGGGCATCACATTTGTGCAATCACTGGAGGATGAAGTGGGTCACTCAGAGTGAATGATGGTTGGGACTAGAGCTGCCTGTCTTCAGCCAGTGCCTGTCCCGCATAAGGGCTGGACTTTGACAGCCTGGCAGCGAGGGTGTTTATAAAATGCTTGGCCTGCACAGGGCCAGGGAGAAGATGACACCAAGGAGGCCACAGCGTCGTAGGAGAGGGCCAGCCTCTGCCAGTAAGAAGAGTTGCAAGGGCTGTGCCTACTTCTGCCCAGACAGCAAGACCGCCAGCTCCTGGATGGACATATCCTTGTGGACATAAGGGTCGTACTGAGCAGGGGTCAGCCTGCCGCTCTTCAGGGCCTCTTTGATGGAGAACTTCTCGCCAGACTTCCTGTCGTGTATCAGGGAGGACTCCCCTTTGAGACCATTCACTGAGATCTCCCAGTCACACTCCTGGCTTTTGAGTTTCACTAGCATGTTCCGGGGGATGAGGCCGGCGCGGTGGGCGTCCTCCGGGGACAGCTCACGGCCCGTGTCGCGGTGGATGACCACGATGGCGCCGCAGGTGGTTCTCCCGCTGCTCCCGCTTGACAGCCACGGAGCCCAGGTGCTTCTGCAGCTTGTCGATCTCGAGGTCTTTGTCCTTGGAGAGCCTCTGGAGGTTGTCCAGTTCCCTCTCCAGGGACCGCAGTCTGGAGTCGTGACTGGTCCCAGAGTCCGCCTCGGTCATGTTCCGCGGGTCTCGTGTTTCCGTCGCTGAGATGGGAATTTCAGTTTCCGATTGCAGCCTTCGGGTGTCCAGCTGCAGGTTTTGCCGCTCCAGCTGTAATTTGTGGTTCTCTTTCTTTAGAAAGTCTAGTTCCTGGGACGACTTGGAGTTATGGAATTCCAGCTCCGAAAGCCGGGCTTCCAGCGGCTCCCCTCGGCGTCCGGCTAGCGCTTGCGGCGGCTCTCCCGCTCCAGGCTGCTCTGGAGCCTCCGGAGCTCTTGCTCAGTGTCGCCCCTCCCCACCTCGATGCTCTCGGAAAATACCACCTTCTTCTTGACCTCCGCCTTTCCCACGGCGGCCGGCTTCCTCCGCAGGGTGTCGAGCTCACCCTCCAGGAGCTGCCGCCGGAGCTATTCTTCCTCCAGCTGGAGTCGGAGCAGGACATGCTCGCGGGCCTGCTGCGGGGCCTGCTGCAGCACCGCCTTCTGCTTGCGGGTCACCTTCTCACGGGCCTCAGCTTCCTCCTGCTCCAGCACGGCCAGCCGCTGCTGCAGCCGCTGCACCTCGCGCTCGGCCTCCCTGCGGGGCTGCAGCTCGAGCTCTGTGCGCCGGCTCTGCAGCCGTCACAGCTCCGCACGCGGCTTGTCATCTGCCGCAGCTCCACGCGAAGGAGCTCACCTCTGCCCTCAGGCCGGGCTCCTCCTGTACCTACTTCCTGCTGCAGCACTCTTTCCTTCACCCGCGCGAGCGCCTCCTCCATCCTGGCGATCTGCTTGCTCTTCCTGGGAAGCCCTCTCCCTCTCCAGGTCCACTTACCTCTTCTGTTCCTCTGAGATCCTTGCCCTCAGAGACTCCAACTCCTCCTCGGTTTGAGGGTCTTCCTGGAATTGGAGGATCTCCTGGACCACCTCTTTGGTCTGGGCCTGGGGTTTGGTGTCTTTCAGGGCCTGGATTTCCTGCTTCCGCTGGTAGATCTCTAAATCACACCTTTCCGTCAGTCTGGTCTTGACCACGACGATCCCCTCCCCGAGCCGCTGAAGCTCCTTCTCCATCTCGGGGTCAGTCTTGTACTTAATGACTTCCTTGGTCACCTCTACGGCCTCACTGCCCAGCCTCCTGCCCAGCACAAAGTAGGCCTTATCGACGTGTCTGGGGAGACTGAGGGGTTAAATCCAGCCCCAGCACTTCCTAGGTAGACTAAGTGGGCCGACTGCAGAATCTCTATGAAACAACTTCTTGCTCTGTGAAAGGGCTAACGATGCCTGCCTCAGAGTGCAGGTCTGGCTAACACAGGGAACACGCTGGAGTCTGGAATGTACTAGGCACTTCTTTTCTTTCTTGATCGTTCTTGCTAATAGAGAGTGATTGTTAGTCTTTTAAAATGAATAACTGAGCTGATCTTCTTGACTTTTTCTCTCATGCATTTGTCTTCTATTTTATTGATTTTCGCTGTTTATTGTCTTCT